CTTGCATACCTGGTATGAATCCTACTTGGTCGTGGTGTATTATTTTTTTGATATGATGCTGAATTCTATTGGCTAGAATTTTGTTGAGAATTTTTGTATCTGTAGAACTCAGGGATTTTAATAACATGTAGCTACAACTGCAGTTATGGAATTGACTAAATGATTTTCCATTCACCTTAAAGAAAGGTGCATTGCCTTGACCCCGGGAATCACAAGGCTATAATCTCTCTATCACAGTGGGAGAAGGCAAAGGAGAGCCAACAAATAAGGTCATCTATGATAACAGTTTATCTCCCCTCCAATAGTGTCTTTAGTTCTCTGAAGATGAAATCGCTTTTCCTTCATTTTGGGCTGAAACGTGAAACTCTGCTTGCATCTGAAGGAAACCCTCCACACTTGTTAGCTGGGCCAAGACGGGAACAAAGCAAGGGACAAAACTACTCTGTGCTTATACTTGGCATGTATATATTTCTTTATCTTGGGGTAGGGGAGGATCCAGACTTTTATAGGACCTATTGTGAATACAAGGAGCCCTGGTTGTGCAGTGGTTAAAGCGATGGACTGCTAACTGAAAGGTCAGTGGTTTGAAACCACCAGTGGCTCCACAGGAGAAAGATGTGGCAGTCTGCTTCCGTAGAGATTTATATCCTTGGAAACCCTAATGGGTCGCTAGGAGTCGAAATTGATTCGACAGCAGTGGGTTTGGCTTTGGTTGGTATTGTGAATAAGGAACCCTAGTGGCACAGTGGTCAAGTGGTCAGCTGCTAATCAAAAGGGCAGAAGTTTGAATCTACCAGCCTCTTGTTGGAATCCGTATGGGCAGCTCTACTCTGTCCTATAGGGTTGCTATGAGTTGAAATCGACTCAGCGGCAATGGGTTTTGGTATTGTGAATACGATTTCGGGAGACCCTCTTTAAGAAAAAGAAAAACAAAATTAAAAATTCTAAATTAGGTGTGAAAGTGAATATTTATTTAGAAGAAGAGAAGAAATCGCAAAAAATCTCAGATTTAAGGAGGCTGAAAAATACCACAACCATGACAACTTCCAGAAAAAATATTTTAACTAGTATCCAATACACCTCTGTAATACTTCTCCCTACATTTTTGCCTGCATACTCTTTGAATGACTCTTCGTTATGACAATAGTTTTGTAATATTTTCTATGGACAGAACAGAAAGATAATTCAGTCTTTCTCTTAATATAGTTGACTGTACTTTTTTCAGTTTCACAAATTTTTATTGATCATGTCATATATTTTTCAAATTGTCAAATTTGGTGGTAACCACTAAATAATTTCTTTCATATATGAGTTCTTGTGGGGCCCTGGTGGTGCAGTAGTTAAGTGTTTGGCCCCTAACCAAAAGGTTGGTAGTTCGAATCTACCAGCTGCTCCTTGGAAACCCTATGGGGCAGTTCTACTCTGTCCTACAGGGTCGCTATGAGTAGGAATCGACTCGATGGCAATGGGTTTTTTTTAACGAGTTCTTGTAGCATACTCACTGCTTGTAGTACTAGTACAGGTTTGTGCTCTTCAGAAACATGAGAATTTGGAGAAATTCTCTTTCATGTGACTCCCACCAAAAGAGAAAAAAATGCATGGTATATTGCATTATCAAATAAATTCCCACCACAAGAGAACTTCTGTGTTGACTAGGCATCAGTGAGAACTCAGTCCTCCATTCACAATTTTATGTGTCTGATGGTGGGAAGACTTTTCCATAGACTACCTTCTGGCACTTAGACCTTGTTTCCTCTTAATGATCCACATATTTCTGGTTCTGGGAAAAGTAGAGTATGTTCACATTGTGATACCTTCTCTGGTCTGACACCTTCATGTCCCAATGTCTAGTTGAAAACATTATGCTGAGTGAAATAAGTCAGACACAAAAGGGCACATATTGAATAATCCTGCTTATATGAAATATCCAGAATAGGCAAATGCATAGAGATCAACAAGGTTCATTAGTGGGTGGGAAGAGGAAATGGGGGGGCAGGTATGGCTTAAGCAATAGTTTTTGTTAAGGGTGATGAAAAAATTTGGAAATGGGTAGTAGTGATGGTTGGACAACGTGGTTAATGAAATTAATGTCACTGAGCTGTACAAGTAAAAATGATTGAAATGGTAAATGTTTTGTTATTTTACCACAATAAAAATTAAACAAAAAAATAGAAAAAGGCTAAATGTTGAGAACCATACTTGGTAACAAGGACAAGCAAAAAGGTGTTAACGTTTTTCTTGGAATGGAAGCTCCTTTCTCTTCAGATAAAATACATTCTGTTTTGTGTTTGCAGATGTCCTTGTTCAGACCATCTTCAGACAAAACTCAGCTTAAGCAGATGAAAATACAACATCATCAAAGAGAGAATACAAATATGCCTTTTCTTGCCTAAGTAACAAAGCTAATTTTGTGGTTTTACTCTAACTTCTATGCTCAGATGTTGCTCTTCTGTCATTATTATGGGTTTGAAATATTCGTAGGAATAAGTATCACTGAGAAAATAATGCTGCTTTATGATTTCAATTTTTACAGTATCTCATATTCTTCAAAGTCATTTGTACGTAGTAAAAATTTAAATGTCCATAGGCAGTATGCTATTTTCTCTGTGTAGTACCTGGATTATTTAGTCAAGTAATCTCAATTATTTATTCTTAACTCGCGTTTCATAAATGGGGCATCATAGAGGCATCTTTAAAAATAAAATTTTGCTGTGAAATTTTATTAGCTAGTGATGTAAAGTATATTTTTGTGAAAGACTAGTGTGAGAAAGAGGCTAATGTTGCTGTTGATAGTTGCCATTGAGTCAATTCCAACTCATGGCAACCCCATGAGTGCACGGTAGAACTTCTCCATAGGGTTTTCAAGGCTGTGACCTTTTGGAAGCAGATCATCAGGCCTTTATTTTGAGGTGCCTGTGGGTGGGTTCGAACCACTGACCTTTTGGCTAGTAGTGAAGTGCTTAACCATTTGTGCCACTCAGGGACACCTAGGCTACCAATAAAATCTAAACAAGAAATAAGAAAAATAAAATAATTTTTAAATGGATTTTGTAATTCTTAGTAACTTTTGTGAGATAACTGTATTTACTAGTCTTATTTTAATTCAAATTAAACCAGACCAAAATAGTACAGTATTATTATGTCTG